ATATTAGGGGAGGCTTTAATAATAGGCGAAGCGATTATGAATGAACCTCCAGTTTTTGGTCAAGGCCGTTAACAGCGGAAGCGCGTCAGCTGGCCAGGAACCTGGTCACATCGCAGCTCGGCTCTGTTGCTTTGGGCTTAGCTCCGCAGGGTCTAGCTCCAAAGCGGCTTGCAAGGTCTGGGGGAATTGAACTGCAGGTTTCGGCGTTGATGCAGGTGTTCATGAGTTTGCACCTCCTGCGCCCGAAGGGAGTCTCTTTTTCTTTTGTTGGTGTGTGTGCCTGTGTGTGTGGCCTTGCGGACACACGTCCGCACACGTGTGAACACAGCGAGGGTGGGCCTGGTACCAGAAAGACCGTGTCTCAGGAGCAGCATCCTCTGTGTCCGTTCTTCACCATCCCTCGGGTCTTGTGTAACGCGTATCCTCACAGGCTGTTCCGTCGGCACACCATCTGCTTTTCATCCTCCCAACCAATGCTTTAGCAGCATGGAGCACAAAGGGATGCTGAGCAACCTGCACACTGTGTCAGCGAATGTGCAATGTGGGGGTTTCCGAAAATANNGGACCCTAATTTAGTACCCTAAATAGTAGGATCCCTATTATAAGGACCCCAAAATAGAATACCCTAATTTTCGGAAACTCCCATGTGCTCTTTTGTTTGTTGTTTTATGTAAGCGTAGGTGCTCAGGTCTGGTCTTTTTAGCTACTTTGCTTTCGGTTGGTCTGTTGGTGAGCTTTCAGCAGTTATGACTGATGCTGCTAGTGATCGTGCGTTTTTCTTGATGTGGGTGATTCTTTCGTTGTTTGTGAGCACAACTGATGCTTTGTGTCGTTGTGGTTCAGACGTTTTGCTCAAAAAATGGGGGTTTCGGTCGAGCTGGGTAGTAAGGGCAGCAGTCGAGTCCTTGTGAAAGAAAAGGGGTTTGAAGGGCTTAGTTCTGAAAAGGGGCTTAGGGGTTCATGTTACGCTTCTTCAGTGGTACCCGGCAGTCGCAATAGGCCTGGATGCAAAAGGGGTTTAGGGTTTAGGGCTGCAGTTCTATCCCAGGAGGAGGAATGGTCAGACAAGCCTTTCACGCGGGCTTATAGCCAGATGAAGAACACTGACTTGGGCGATGAGCACACAGCTCGAATGCTGCTGAGCAGGTCGTGGCTGCGAGATGTGAGCATCGTAGCACACAGCCCAGTCTTTGCGGATGAAGCCCTGATGCTACTTGGGCTGTCTGAGCAGGCTATACTTTCTTCTGTTGTGGGTGGTCTTTTGGGTGCGGCCCTTCTTGTTTGACAGGAAGTCTTGGTAAGAAGACGAGGGTCACCTCGCGATGCCAGGGCTTTAAGGATTGAGGCTCACGGCGTTAGGTCCGTTAGGTTTCACTCGAGCGTTTGGATTCAGGGCCCAAGCGTCAGGATCTTCGTCCAACTGGTTCTCAACGACATGAGGGCCTACCTCAATGGTGAGGTGGTTGTCACAGCCGGGGAAGACTGGAAGCCTGTTTGGGAGGTGGGGGTTTCCGAAAATGGGGGACCCTGATATAGTACCCTAAATACTAGGATCCCTATTATAAGGACCCCAAAATAAGGTACCCCAATTTTCTGAAACTCCCAGGTGATGGGCGCGATTGCAACGGGGATCCTCCTTCTGGGAGGTCTTGCGGGCTTCTATCTGCGAAGCCGCGGCAAATCGGCTCGACAGCTAAGGCCAAGCGAGCCCTGGCGTGCTAGGATGTAGAACTTTTTCAAACTTTATATACACACCTAAACCTAAACCCTAAAAGCCTAAACCCTAAACCCTAAACCCTAAACCCTAAAAGCCTAAACCCTAAAATCCTAAAGCCCAAACACTTTGAGGCTTCTGGGTTTAGGTTGCTTCTGGTGGGGAAGGGGTTAGGATGTTCGGGCTTTGCCATCCGTGGTAGAGTAGGCAAACCTATTTCTTGTTGGTGTGATAGCTATTATAACCCCTATAAAATCCCAAAAGGCTCAACCTTTGGTTACTGGACAAGTACATTGAATTGCAGTCCGAACTCCTCACCCAAAACTGGTTAGACACGCGTTGCTGCAGACTGAAGTTTAGGATGGCTTGGGGGGTTAATCGGAATGGCTTGGGAGGCGAACCTCGACATGCTTTGGTCTACCGAAGTCAAGTAGCCAAGCCGTAGGGTTTAGGGTTCAGGGTTTAGGGTTTAGGGGTGCCCTAGACCTCTCAAAAACCCTGGTCGAGTGATTCAGGTTCATAGATTGGGGCTGGTCTCGAGCATAGGTCCCTGCTTGATTGGGTTTCTTGTGCTTAGGGGCTGAGTAGGCAACCTTTAACCTTTTGGGGGCTTATATAATCCTACTACCATTGAAAAGGTTAACCTTTTTTGGGCTAGGGTACTCAGCTCATAAGTGTTGCTGCTAGTGGCATGAACAAGCCTGGGCCACTGTCACAAAATCATGTTTGGTAGGAGGCTGGCATGTTGAATTCCTTTTCAATCTCCTAAGCCCTACGTGGACTCTGAATTTTGGAATCCCTGCTCAGGCCCCTAAACCCAAACCCTTTGTGGACTCTGAAACCCATTCCCATTCACATGTGTCGGTGCACTGAATGAGGAGAAGCCTTTTGGCTGAGGTTACAAAAAGGATCTCGGGCGAAGTGAAATGGCTTGTGCAAGAGGATGTCAACTTCGAATTCCTGGGTCTGAAGACTTATGATTAACCCTAAACCCTAAACCCTAAACTAACTTATGATTATGCGGTTCAGGTTTGTCTCAAGCCGTTGGCCGATTGATGTCAGCATATCCAAGCGGCTGAAGCTCCAGGGGATGCTCTTGAACCCCCCTCCCCCTCGAGTTTTGAGAACCGTCCCAGTCCCAAGGTGGTTTAGGGTTTAGGGTTCAGGGTTCAGGGTTTAGGGTTTAGGATTTAGGGTTTTAGGGTTCAGGGTTTAGGGTTTACGATTGAGGGTTTAGGGTTTAGGGGCGTCCTGCCTGGTATTTCCGGAACTCCTGCATGCTGATGGCCTTCAACCCGCCGCCAAGGAAGTGGAGCTTCAACACGTGCCCTTCAGAAATGCTTCCTGACCTTCTCGCTCACCGAGAGCTGAGACACCAAAACCGTCCAAAATCACTTGGGAATCATAATAGGCAGTTTAGGGATGTCTTGGGTTACGGGTAAGGACCCTTCCATGATATCGCTCTTTCAGTTTCTAGGATAGTCTACGGACATGAAAATGATATATAACTCTGTAGTCTCGAGCCTTTTCTGTGAGTGTCATAAAGTATGATTTTCTAATCTGGAGTGTCTTGACTTGCTTGTTTACATCTTTGGGGAGGCTCTTAGAGCGCAGCATCGACCGGGGGAGATCCCGTTGGCCTGCGCAGAAGCAACAAAATGCCTTTCAAGCCGGATTTGGGGGGGAGGGGGTTAGGTGGTGGATAGGGTTTCTTCATATTGGGGCCCAGTCCTAACACTAATGATGTTATGTTACTTGGGGTCTGTGGTGGCTTTGTTTAGTTCTGACAATCCCAGATAAGTCAAGGGTCTCCGCAACAAGACATCTATTCGCTCGGTAGTCGCACCACCTACAACCTCTGATTCAAGCGTTCTTCGGATGGGTTCCAAGGTTTACGTGAAGCCTCCCTACAAGTAAGTATATATTGTATATCTTATATATATATATACACATATGCATACATACATACATACATACATACATACATACATATATATATATATATGTATATACTGCACCGGTTGAAAACAGCTACACTTCCTAAACGCCCCGGAAACACAGCCCCGGAGTCGAACAACGCCAGCTCAGTAGCACGAAGCTAGGGTTCGAGATCTTCGGCTTGGGGGTTTGGGTTTAGGGTTTTTTTTAGGGTTTAATCAGGGTTTAGTTAGTTGGTGTTTAGGGTTCAGGGCTTAATAGTTTGAACGAGGTCTCTCTGAAGTGCCTCGTTCAAAAAGGGTTTAATAGTTCCGGGTTTCAAGTATTCCAGGGAACATCGCACAGGTAGTGAGGCGTATCGCAGTACGGTGCCGGTACCGCATGCCCCGCCAAGAACGCTTCCTCTTGTCCCGGCCCCTAAGGTCCTTAGGCTCTGCCGGCCTGCACCCCAAAAAGCCACAGCATTCGAGCCCGAAACATGAGACATGAACCATGCAACGCTCTCATCCCAAATCCTAAACCCTAAACCCTAAACCCTAAACCCTAAACCCTAAACCCTAAACCCAAAGACAAAAAAACTGCGCGCTGACAAGCAATGTTGGCTGAAGTTCAGGTCGACAGGAGTCGATAGAAGGAAAGTCCTCGAGTGCCTGGCCCTTCAAGCCTTTGAAGCTCCAAGCTCAGGCCCCCGGATCGTCTTTAGAAGCCCTGAAGCCCCTTGCGCCCTACTTTTTCTCAACATTCGTTAAACTTGGAGGGCGAAACTTTGCTTGATTCTCTGCTTTAAGGATCAGTGCATCCTTGACTTGATTTGTTTCCGAATTCTGCTCGGAGCTTTAATCGTGACTGCTTGATACCACTTCCTTGTTCTCTGCTGCATGCTGCGCTTGCTGTACCGAACCTTTGCATACTAGACCTAAACCCTGAACCCTATATAGGAGCTAGAGGGATTGCGAATTCCATTTCGTCGTTAAGGCCTTCGGGCTCCTTCTCATACAAACAGAACACTCTGTCCCAAGATTACAACCGCCGCGATAATGGAACTTAAAGCGTCCCAAGGACCCAATAGTTGGCTACTCGGGTTAGGAGAAGTAATGTAGGTTACTATTTTGGAGAGTCTATTGAGTATGTGATGATTTGGTTCATGGACCCTTAGGGGGAAGACCCCAACGTTCAGGCTAGGGCTTGGCAAGGGTAATACAGGGGCCTTAATAATTTGAATGGGGTCCTGGTTTAGATTATACTGTAGGTATCTTGCGAACCCGTAAAATAGTATTCGTGAATATCTAGGCCCCTTTAATGTAAGATCAGTTTAAAACCCTAAACCCTCGAGTGTGAGCGCCGAAACCCTAAATTGCCCTTAGGCAAAGGACGTGGTCAAACAGATCTTAGACTCCACGTCCCCCTGTGTCTTCAAGATCGGCATCACCTGCACGCCCCTCCTCCGCCTCACAGCTGCAAGGAGTAGCGTTTAGGGTTTAGGGTTTCAGTTGCAAGGAGAATGCAAGTAGCCGGACAGCCCGAAAGTCAGAGCGAATCCTTAATCTTGCTAGAGATGATATCCTCAACATGATTTCTGGTATGCTCCTGAATTGGGGATAGGGTCTCGGGTTTGCAACTGCTGATCGCATCTGGCTAGCACAAGCGGAAGCATTGCACAGTTTTTGGGGGATGTTCTTCCGACCCCTACAGGAAAACCTTGGAACCCCGCCTCATGCCCAGCCCTCAACCCTGGACCCTACCACAAGAAGCCTGTACGGTCCGTAAGGGACCTTGTCGCCCTAGACGACCCTTATGAAATAGTTTTAGCACTGAGCACGGGCGTTTACCAACGGTCGACCGCAGGAGATGCTTCTGATCTGAGAGAGCCCAACTTAGCCCTGAATGGTCTAGGCATTTAGGGTTTGGGATTCAGGGTTCAGGATTTCGTGTTTCAGGGTTTGGGATTTCTTCGTTTGTCTTGGATTAAAACTAAGGGCCCAAGGGTCACTGGTATCATACCACACTTTCTGGCATGTGCATGGGTAGCATTACGCGCCTCATGGTGTTTTTTGAAGCTCCTTAACCTCACAAGCTATGGGTTCTCGAAGGGCTTATGGCATCGTTGGAGGGCTTGAGTAAAGATCTTGCGGGGTCTTGTTGGCTTTTTGCTGAGGCATATCCTAAACCGTAAAGGGATGGATTCTTGTGGTTGGTGGGGCTATAGTCCCTCTTGGACTCGCTGCATACTTGTAGCAACATAGACAGGACGTCTTGTTGTAAACTATGTACGTATACCGAATATCTACCCCCACGCAACCCCCACACCCTTAAATAACATCCCCTAAGCCCTAAACCCCTAAACCCTTATAAACCCCAGTCCAAAAAAGAAAGGCACACTCCTAGCCTCTTTCGGCAGAGATTCTAAAATGCTGCAGCTGTTGAGTAGCCAAGGCTTTCGGGCCTACGACCGCGAGGGCTACCAGCAGATGCACCTCCTCCACGTGACCGAGGCGCCCTTGGGTTTACCTTGCAGGTGCAGTATTGAAGCCTTGAGGGCTTGAAGATTTCGGGCTTACGGCCGTAGTAGGGTTTAGGGGTTTAGGGGTTTGGGGATTTAGGGGTTTAGGGGTTTAGGGCTTAGGGGTTCAGGAAAAAGGGTTTTTTTGGCCCTGCTGTTGAGGTGTGTTTGCTGGCACACAACCCAAGCCCATGTTGAAAAGGGGTTTTGGGTTTCGGGTTGGAGCCTTGACTTGAAGTTTGAGGTTTTCCACTAGTTCGGTGTAGGGTTTGCTGCACCCTGTGCCCGGGGTCAAAACCCCTTCCAAGCCCGGGTGAGGCGCAGGCTTAATCTAGAAGCCTGAAGACTTTGGGTTTAGGGTTTAGGGTTAGATTACCCAGATTATTCCTTAGGGCTACTTGTTATTCCATCCTGAAGCTTTCTATGTCAGGGTTTGTGAAGGCACAAAAGGCCAGAACATTTCTACGGCCCAGGCCTTCAGCCTCGATATCCTCAGCCCAAATGAAGTCGAAATCTCATCGCATATCGTACCCCCTACATAGCCCAATGCGAACGATGAGGGCTCCTACATTCAACCGTGGAGCACCAAGCACAAACAAGCACAAAGAGTTTGCCAAGAAGCACCAAAGTACCCGAAAATCCTGCCTTGGGGAGGAGCCCCTGAACCCTAAACCCTAAGTTGAAAGCCTAGACCAGAAACTTTAAAACCCAACCATAAATGGGTAGTTCTCTAAATTAGGGTCCGTTTTTAGGTCCCCATTATACTACGGCACCCTTATACTAAGGAATCTAAAGGGACCCTGATTTAGACAACTACCC